TCCCTTTCCTTCTCCCTTCCCTTTCTCCTTCCCCTTCCTCCTCTCTTTCCCTTCCCCTTTCCATCCCCCTTCCCTCCCATCCCCTTCCCTGCCCTCCTCTCCTCTCTCCTCCCATCCCCTTCCCTCCCTTCCCCTCATCCCCTTCCCTTTCCACTTCCACTTCCCCTTTTCTTAATTCTCCTGAATCAATAATATTACTAAGGAAGAAAGAAGATTTTATCTTCACTCTGTATTTCTGATTTAAGGTTTTAATCTTTTTTATTTATTTATTTATTTTTTTTTTTTATTTTTAAATTATCTATTAATTTGATTGTTGATTTATTGTTCCTAGTTCTAGAATTCACAGAACTATAGAATCACATCATGGCTGAGATGGGAAAGGACCTCTGCAGTCATCAGTTATAAGCCTTGCCTCAGCAGGGACACTCAGTACAGAATGCCAGGCCCATGTTCAGGTGGCTTCTGGAGATCTCCAAGTCACTCACACTCACAGTTCTCTTGCTCTTAATTCAGTTCTGGCAGTATTCAGCATTGTGTTATCTCCACCAGAAGAAGGAAAAATCATTCCAGCCTCTCCTCAACTTGATGATGGCGTTTCTAAAAGGAATTGGAACCTTAAGGGTCCCTCCAGGCACATCTCTACATTTATATTTATCTTGACAATATTTAAACTTTTGATTTTTATGGATTTATGATTTCGAAAGATGCCAAAGGGAGTTAATGTCACACTGAAGAAAAATTTTAAAATGTACATTTGTAAGTTTGAGACATAATGCTTTGACTCAGATACAGGTTGCACTTACAGAACTTCTGAAGCCTCTTTAAATGTCATTGTGTTATATGTGATATCCTTTACAGTCTGTGACTGCCTGCCTTAAATGATTTCATTTTATCACGCTGTGAAGCATTTGCTGACAAAAGAGCCTCAGAATTACTTCTGGCAGTAGCTTGCATGAGAAACTCTTGATGCTACACTTCATTGGGAACTTTTATTCTTAATCTGTGTTTGCATTGCTCTTTGGTGAGTTGTAAAAGTAGTTGTAGTTATAGTAACTATAGTGCATTTATTAAAAAAAAAAAAAAAGGTGAATGGGCAAAGCCAAAAGAATTAATTTATGAGGAACTGTAAAAATTGTAGAGATATAAACAAAGAAAAATGCAAGGAAAATATTTATTTTTTCCCAATTTCCTGTTACTTCAGCACAATATTCAGCACTTAACACTACCTAACAGACAGACCTGTAAGGATTCCTTACCTCCTTTGAAGGATATATCTTCAGTAAAACACTCACAGGAAATACAGATTTCCTGAACACTGAATGTGAAGAGATGTTACAATTTTTGCAATTTTTTCTCCGAGTCTGGGATTTTTAAAAAGATTTGATGTACCTATTACAAATACCCAGCAAAAGGAACTGAAGTTAATTATTTGGATGAGCTTTAGATATGCAATATTTGTCCCTAAGGTATGAAAAAAAAAAGACAGGAAAAAAAAAACAAAAAAAGGTGGCCAATTACTTTGACACTTTATATTTACATTGAAATTTTTTAGTAATACTGAGTTAAAGGCAGTAGTAGGAAAAAGGCTATATCCTCCTGTACACCTATGAAACAATAACTGAAACAATAACTACACTTAGAAACAAAATACTGTTTTATGTGGCACAAATTCTTCCAAATCTAATGGAAGGAATTTAATATGAAGCATACAATAAATTATTATGAGCAGCAAGCTTGGGATCAGTTCTGTATTTCACCAGGCTTGTTCTTTCTGCTGTTACACAATAGACCACATATGATGTTAATGTGAAAGATGGTTGTTTTTTTTTTCATTTTTGAATTTGGCATCGCAGTCCCCTGGGGAACAGCTGGTGTGAGATGGTTGTATGCAGGGCTGCAGAAGTGTAGGGCAGGCTGAGAAGGAGGAGGAATGCCCTCACTTGTTATTCCAGGTGGCTATCACACTGCTGAATTGCTTTCAGGCACAGGAACTTAGTATTCCTGTGTTCATCTTACGCAGATTTAAAATGCCTCGTGGCAAAAGGTCTTTGTCTTCCTTATGGCCTCTTACTCTCTGCTGTTCCTATGGAGCCAGTAAATCTGGAAAGAAATGCGATCACCCTACCTGTCCATGACTGAAGGACCAGAGAGAAGAGAAAGTATTCTAGTCAGACCTACTGGGTCTGTGAAATACACAAGTGTCTTTTTGGTACAGTCAGCCTCAGAAATTAACAGAGGAGAGAAAGGCCATTTCTTAAGGCCTGTTTCTTCCTGTAGTGGATATTTATCTAAAATTCTCCACACTTCTGCTCCTGCAGCCCAGAACATCTTGAGTGAGGCCTTTCGTTTACACCCTGCCCTCCAAATAATTGTGAAACGGCATTATGTACAATTAGGTATAAGACAGCTGCTCTGAAAGTAATGCCTCCTGTTTTATGACGTTGGCCTACAACGTCAGAGGTGGATGTTGGGGCTATGGCACTAGAGGTTGAACCTTCCTGCCAATATCAACAAAATTACACTTTGTCGCTGTGTGACAGATGGCAGCAGGGTGGCAGTCTGACACAATGGTGTCTGACACAAAAGTGCAGATGAAGCAATGGTGTGTCATTAAATCCCTCCATGAAGAGGCCATGCAGGCTTTTGTTCATCACTGGCAAAA